AGGGCATGAAGTTGAGGACACTTGGAAAGCTGATTATTACTCATTTGGAAAGAGAAGCTGCGAATACGAGTTGACCAAAACCAACCGCAGCAAGCGTGAAGAAGAGATATCCATCGATATCTGTGACCATGTATCAAACAATGGCAAGGACGACGTTGATTTTCATATGGACATGAGAGTGGAAGAAGGTCTTGTTTTAGCAAATCTTACTCTAAACGGACCCAGATACCTGCAGCAACTTCCCGAGAGGAAAACCCCTATGGCGCAAGGTGGGGTTTTCAAATCCTCCTCCTTCTTATACGGACGTGACAATGACCGAAAGGGTCTTATTGTCGTTTTAAGGGCAAAGAGAAGAGATAACGATAAGGAGCTTCCTTACATGATGACTGTGAAGCACTATTTTGTTTCTGCGTGGTGTTCTCATGGTGTCTCTCTTCAGGCGAAGATTCGCAGTGATCGGAGTGATGGAGGTTTGAGTTTTGAGATTGAAAAGCCTTACATGCAGTCCAAACGTGAGTTGTTGAGCATGATTGATGATGTTAAAGGAAAAGGGTGGTGCCCTAATCCTACTACTTCTGATTTTCCGATGGAGCTTTCCAACAAAAGTAATGGTAATAATGTCCCTGCCATTAGCTTTGGGGGAAAGAACAATAGTTCAGATGCTGTTCCGGCCTTTTACACCATTAGCGGCAAGCAAAACATCACGTCACTTATAAGCTCGAGTGGATGGACTGAAGGCAATTATAACAGTTCTCTCATATTTCAGGACTGTGAATTTTATGAAGAAGCCGTTGGTACTCTGACGAGATGCCCCTGAGTTGGTAATTTCAACGTTTTCTTGCAGTGAAACTAAGTCAACATATTTGTGTTTTTCAGTCATATAATCTGTTTCAACTATTATCTATTGCCATTATTAGAGGTGACAAAAATGTGCTACTCTGTTTATTTTGTTTCGATTTGTCATTAGTTCATCAAAAAGAGTTAGGCCGCCATAACAAAACAGGTTAAAGCATATCGACAAACTGGTCCGCCAATTTTTTGTCAATTTTTTATTTCTAAAATTTGTTAATATCGACAAACTGTTTTGAGCGACTGACAGACCGACTAAGGAGTATAGTCTGACTTTGTCATCTCCAGTAGTAGTAACTTTGGGTGAGTTTTGTTTTTGTAGTAAGAACTAACATATATAAATATATATTGTCATGGTGCAAATTGTACCTTTTATTGAATTCACTTCTGCTGATGAAAAACGAAAAACGTGAAAATTAACGAAGGCTATATTGATTTCAGACAATAATAATTTCTCATTTACATATTCTATTCAATTGCATGAGTTCATCAATTATATTCTAATCAAACTTGTAACTCATTATAGGTTTGAATTCTGCTACGAATACGATGACCTTGTTTTTAAGTACTTCTGTAAACACTGTTTCAATCTTTGACGCATGTTCTAAATTTAGTTTACAACATACTAAACTTTTTCACATAAAAAATAAAAAATCCTGATATTAATTTGGACAAATAAAAGGAATAAAGTTCAAATACTCTTTATCATCGATATAATTAATATTCATATTCTTTCGTAGCATATACATGATTTTACTTTGGAATTCAAATATCTTCCTTGTCGTTATAATGTAAGATATGCATATTATTCTTTGTCAAATGGAAAACATCAAACGAGTATTTATCAAATTAAAAAAGAAGCATTGGTCCTATATTATGACAGTAACTGTGATCCTAATGTAAAAGTTTTTCAACTCATTATAACCATAATTTCAACGACTTATGGAATATTAGAGGCGCTTTAATCCATTTATACTGTGTGTACATACATGGTCTAAATTTGCTGTAACATCTCCATTAGAATCATGCAAATGAGCAATATTCTTTTACTTATGATTCCATCCATTTGCAATGCAGCACGGCACAGGTGTAAAACAAAACTCGAATCGCACAATCTGACAAGCCACAAGTGGAACTTTTGTTCTCTCTGTTGATTCTTCCTTATTATCTCGTAGCACATTTGCTTGCTTTCTTTGAACGCGAAGAATATGATCGTATCACTTTCACCTAAGATTATATAACTGAGAATACGCACATTCATTAAGAAAGTAAACAATTTCAGAAGCAATAATGCAGATGCACGGAAACACACCAAACGTAAACACTAACGTGATGTGGCTCAAGTCTGGGCCGTTGAATGTGTACAGTGATAAGAAGAGATAGATACATGAACAATCAAACGGGTGAGGAGTGTGTGGTAAGGTGCATTTCATACTTAGTGGGGAAGCGATATCTGGTTTTCACCATAACTGAGACGTACAGAAGCGACAGTGTAATCTTAGTATACGTGGAGGTGAAAGAGGAATACGGAAGGGGATCTTCTGCCATTTTGAAACTGTAGTCGTTGGAAGTTCTACGTCAATCAGAAATAAGTCAATTTATAATACATGAATCGTGTGTTTTCCAAAATGGGGCATCGGATGGAGAATGAGATGGATAACAACGTTGTCTTCCTTAAAACGGATGTCTCAGACTTTCTAATATTATTTAAATTTTTTTTTTTAAATAAATATTTTATGTGTATATAAACCTATTTTATATTTTACCTAAGTGTTTGTATCCAACAATCCTTATCCCACGACCTTCACTGATGTATCTTACCACAATTTATATGGTTATTGTCATGTAGTTTTATAGTTCTTGTCTACTTAAAGTTTAGAGTTTTATATCAATAATGATGCATACAACTCTAATTCTCACAAAGTAGATATATATAACAGTAAAGAGTAAAGAAATACTTCTTGAATATGGTCAAATTATAATTGTGTGGAAAATAATTTTTATTTTAAATGTAGAAAGAAAAACGATCCATCACACCTTTGGATTAATATACACACCTAAGAGAAAAATGTATGAGAAAAGGAGAAACATAAAGCTAACAAAAAATAAATGTAAAACAGGTGTGTTTTAATATATTTTTTATTTTTACTAAAATTTATTAAATATTTGTATTATGTTAATAGATTTCAAGTAAAAGATAAATTTTTATAAAGAAAAGTTAAAATCTGTAATTTTTTTAACAAAGTATTAAAACTTAACCAATTTTAATAACTAACTATTTTTAATAAGTAAAAAACTAAATATTAAAAATAAATAAGATTTGAGAAAGTTGTTTTTAAGAAAAAGAACAATATATTTATTTTAATTTGAATGTATAGATGACAATTCTTCCTAATGACACTTTTCCTCCTTTATTTTCTATATAAACTTTATGAGACTTATCTCATTTACTCAAGTTAAATCTTTACACACTCGTCTCATTTATTCACACTTATTTTCTTTACCACACTAATCTTCTTAATTCGTGTTATCATCATCTCTTTCATTTAAATTCATGTCTTTCATTTACAATTAGCTCTTTCATGATCTATAATTTATTTATTTTTCGTTTATATTTTACATTCTTGAAAAGTAATGCATTGTCTCATAAGTTTTTATTTTTAAATTATATCATTATTCAAGCAAATACAAATTAAATTAATATTAAAAGTAATTAACCTAAAATTAGATAAACTTAAAAATAAATTAAAGGAAATCAACGTAGCTAGGCTTGATTGATACTAAATAATTTCAATTAAAAAGTCAATTTAAAAAACAATGATGAATTGACATTAACTTATTGCTACTTAAAATCAACCTTCAAAAACGAACACAAGTCTAAGGTTTTAGAATCGCCAAAGTACATACAAATTCAATGCTTTGGCTAATTAGCGTCGATGCTACATCAACTTTTGATTGACACTATTATTTTACTGTACTGATTATAAGATTTTTTATGTCTGAAAACTTACTGATATCTTAAGTTTTGAGAAAAAAATATGCCACTTTATCAAAACATAAATGGATGTAAATATTATTCACTAAAATTCTTACAAAACTAAAATATTATTTTATTAAAAAACATGAAAAAGTAAATATTTCTTTCAAATTGCAAGCGGCTTTTAAAACTGAAAATGTAAATAATGCAATTTTTCCAAAACTATAATTTTAATTTCAATGCGTGTATCACTTGGTGAAACCTAATCTCAAGATGTCACCAAATAAAAAAAAATCGTAAGCTTAGATAAGTTGATGATGCTATGTGTTTGTGCGTCACCATATCCGCAAAGATTAATATTAATCACTTCATACAAATTAATGTAAGGAATTTATGTGCACTGAGAATAAGGAATAAAAGTAACTATTGTGAGTAAGCTAAGCCACAGAACACGGAATCTCGCCACTTTTCTTTCTATTATTTTATTAGGTGTTTTTCTTTTCCCACCAAATAAATATGTTTTGCTGGTATTTAATAATTTTTTAAAAGATAAAATTTATTTAATTTAGAAATTAAAAATGAGAAAGACAAGAGGATGTAATAAAAATGGGTAGATATTATTATCTATAATTTATAACAATAATAAGCAGAACTACTTCAATTTATGTATTCTTTAAATATCCTGACCATATCTAACTGGTAATTTCTTCTCAACCATTTGATTGTTGTGTCTCTTTGTTTAACTTTTATTATTTAAGTAAATGAATAATCTATTCTTTTGAGATATTTATGTATTCTTTTATTATATAAATAATATATTTTTATTTCGTTACTGTGTAATTATAGTATGATGCATAATAAGTATATATTCAATTCTCTTACTATCATATAATAAACAAAGATAAAAAGCAATATTAAATTTTAATTTATTTTAAATAAAACATCAATATAATTAAAATGCGAATTAACATAATTCATTTGTAAGTAATAATTTCCATCCAACATATACTCACCCTCTTTTCTCTTATCATAAGAATACTATAAACAATTTAAATACAAAAGGATTTCCTAATTGAAATTTTTTTAGAAATGGTTCTATTCTATATTCAAATTCAAAAGCAGCCATTGCGGAAGATGAACGCTTCCTTCCAAGGGAAATGATTTTGTTTTCTCTTAAAGTGCGTCCTATTTATAAGAAAGCATTCGTATTACCATTATTCACCATTGTGATTAATTTGAGTGAATCCATCATGGGAAACGTTCCCAGTAGCAACAATTACTCTGAAAGTTTTCCCCTGGACAATTATTCAGAGGTTCTTTTTCGTAAAACCAGGAACCGCAAATTGTCTGAAGTTATAAACAATTGGAGTGCAGAATACTGTTTATTTGGAAGGACAAGCTGTGAACTCGAGCTCACCAAAATCACACGCAATAATCATGATGAAGAGGTATTCATCGTAATTCATGACCACACATCAAGCCATGCAAAGGGCGATTTTGATTTTAAGATAAACATCACTGTCGAAAATGGTCTTCTGTTGGCAAATGTTTCTCTGGACGGACCTAGAAGCACACAGCAACTTCCGGAGAGAAAAGTCCCTGTGGCACAAGGTGGGGTTCTGAAGTCCTCCTTCTTCTTATACGGAGGCGACACTGATCGAAAGGGTCTTGTTATCCTTTTAAGGGAAAAGAGATGTGATGATGATGAAGAGCTTCCTTACATTATCACAGTGAAGCACTGTTTCGTAGCTTCGTGTAGTTCTCATGGTGTCTCTGTTGTGGCAAAGATTCGCAGTAACGGCGGTGATGGGGATTTGAGTGTCGAGATTGAAAAACCTCGGAAACATCCGAAAGGGGAGTTGTTGAAGATGTTTGATGATGTCAAGGGAAAGGAGATGGAGTTTGGGAACCAAAACAATGGCAATGTTCCGGTCATGAACATGAGCGGTCAGCAAAACATCTCTGCGGTTTTAAGCGCCGCTGGATACACTAAAGGCGATTATAACAATGCTATCATATTTCGCGGATGTAAATTTAGGTTGAAGAGGAGGAAGTGAAAGAGTGTTATTCTCAAAATGACAATTCCAGCCGCTCAGCGCTAATTCCTGAGGCTTAGCGCCATGACCTTTTTTTTATTTTGTTTTAAAGGTTTTTTTTTTGTTTCTGTTCCTTGTATATCTGTATCTCTTCTTCTCTTGTACATACGCTTTTCCACATGCAGAAATAAAATTTTCAGCTTTCATCTCTTAGTTTCATGGAAAGTCTATGGAACATCACAGATACTATCATCGTCATGAAGAAAATGTTCAGCAGTTGGTACTTTGAGGCTTTGAAAAGTTCCTAAGATGGTATCATAGCTAGCTATTATGTATTTGATAAACCATGTAATGAGAAAAAAAAACAAGAAAAAGAAATGTTCTCGTTATAAACTTTTTAACAAGAACATTGTCTCCAATGAAGAAAGTATTGTCTTGACCTACTCTGTAATAGTGTCATATTAGCTTGCATGCTTGTATTAATCAATCTTGCACATTGTGCATTAATGAAAAGTTGGATAACCCGTTTGAGTGTCAAAGACATTTATTTAACTAATATTCGTACAAACATTGGCTTTTTGCTATACAACGTTGAGTTATTATGTTTCTCAACTAATTAAGGCAACCTCATATGCAAGTTGATCATCATGTTCTCATATATTTAGAGGAATCTCCTCGTATTGACCTCCTTTTTCCTTCACAAGAGATAATGTTTGCATTTGAGTTTGTTCAAATTTTGATTGGGTCTGTTATAGTAATCTTAGACGTTCTAAGTTCTAAATAATGAATCAAGGCCAACTCCTAGATCGCCTAGGTCGACTTAGACCAACATAGTAATAGATTCACTGAGTTTCAAAAAACGATATTTGGTTATCAAATTACTAGTTTTTAAAGTCTGTTTTCTAGTAGTTTGAATCTTTCCCTTGAGGGATTTATTTTCCAAAGCCATCGATTTACCCTACTTAATTTTAAAAAAGTCTCTCTATAAATACCAGACAACTATGACCAAGTGAAAACACTTCATCACACAGACTTAAAATTACTAAATTTTGAATCGGAATTCTCTTTCTGGATTACGTAGAATATCTTTATTTGCACTTTCATTCTAAGAATTATTATTGGAATAGCCATGAGTGGAGCGGAGGGAAAGTTGTCCATAGTGCCTAAGAACAGTTTTTATCAAAAGCGGTTAAGAACAATTAAACGTAACAAGAAAGTCTGAAAAAAAAGAAGAAGGAATAGTAATATCAAATCAAGGAATGGAACAAACATGAAAGAGGTAAGTGGGATGAGAATAAATGCTATACCCTTTAATTATGTTTGTTTTTTCATTCTCTATATTTGTATTTCTTATCAATTTCATTTACTATTTAGGAAGAAGAAATTTCATTTTAGTAAAAAAAAAGTATTTTCCTTATAGTTATAATTTATAAAAATAATTGATTCAATTTATACAAAAAAATAAATTTAAATATTAACAAATTATCTTGTCAAATTCACTAAAAGCGGACACGAAAGCTTTAAATGATGTTTTAGAATTTAAAAAATAAAATAGTAAAATTCTCAGTACGTATATGGAAGCATATCAGACCACAAAAATATGCTAGATGCTGATAAAAAATTAATAAATAAAAATAAAAATATGCTGGATAACATTTTTCTAGTTGTAAGGATTAAATATGCTCCTTGTGGCTCTTTTAACATATAATTCTTTGCATTCTTTTAACGCTTAGTTGGAATCGTAAGTTCAGTTTTACCTATAAATGAAGATGCGGGATTAGAGTTAGAGCAGACGATAAAGACAGTGATAAACATTTCAGAGGCAATATTGCTTCAATTTACTTTTATTTATAATCATAATTTATATAAAACAATTGCTTCAATTTGTGTAATAAAAATTAAATTTAAATATTCAAATACTATCTTGCGAAATTGACTAAAAACAGATAATAAAAAAATTTAAATGATGTTTTAAAATTTATAAGAAACAATAAAAATTCTCACTAAGTATAGTGGAAATATTGGACCACAAAAAGATTCTGGATAACGTTTTCAAGCTGTACTGTTAAATATGCTTCTTTGCATTGGTCTGTGCGTAAGTTCAGTTTTACCTATAAATGAAGATGCAGGAAGAGAGGATTAGAATGAGAGCAGACGAGATAAAAAAATAGTGATAGGCAATGCAAGGAAATAAGAGTGTTGTGAGGCTCAAATCCACCGGTTTTCCGTTGGAAGTCAACACCAAAAGGCTGAAATACAACTATGAGGGTGGAACCACCGGGTTCTCTTCGGAAATCACATACTCCCTCGGTATCACCCTCGTAACTATCAACATAACTCAAGAGATTTGTTCCGGTCGTGTGAAAGCTGTGTACATCGATCTCTCCGAGGTCAGTGGTAAGGATTCTTTCGCTAATCTGAGCCTGCAAGTCACGAGAAACAACAAGTACGGAATTTTATGCAATTACATGAACACCTTATTCGGGGGCTCCTATGATTCGTTCAAGGAGAATTACTGCGCGCCACCTTTACCAGATAGAGAAGTGATTCGTTACATTTGTCATGATAGTGGTTGCGGAGGGTGTTTCATTCTAGAAAAGAAGAAGGAAGATGGTGCGGTGATAAAAATGCAGGCTACTCACGATTTCATAGTTGGCGAAGAGACCATGCACGTGAAAGTGAAAATAAAAAATAATGATGGTGTGAGAGAAGAAGGGTTGAATGTTGAAGTAGAAGGACCGATGAAGCTTACAACGGATTATATGAACCATGTGGTTTCGAACATGACGAGGAAGATGCGAAGTGCGATTGAGGCAAGTACTGAGGCAAGTACGGTTCCACTTGTTAGAAACAGCCCCGCTCAATCATTTGTTAGAAACAGCCCTGCTGAACCACTTGTTAGAAACAGCTCCGCTCAACCACGTGTTAGAAACAGCCCTGCTCAACCACGTGTTAGAAACAGCCCTGCTCAACGTTCGCCGAAGGGTGGTGGCGAAGAGGTTGATGTTTCTGACGATCGCGTGCATATATATGCGGGGGTTTTCAATTCCGCTCCTTTAGAAGAATATTAACATGTTCCTGTGGATCCCCGTACGTATACACAAAGCAAGGGCAGTATGTCGTGAACAAGAATAAGGGTTGTGAACTAGTTAGTATGGTCTAAAAAATGTCATTTCCCATTCCTACTCAAAACCTGATGTTAATTAGATTGTTTTTAGGTTGGTGTAATAAAAAGTGGGGTTGTGAATGTGTCAATTTACTTTACTTTACATAAACATTTTGTAATGGCTACTACTTAATCTTAAGAAGTTTATCATTTTGTTAATCTAATAGAGAATTGAAAATGATATTTTGACATTTTTTATAGACCGATTTATCTATTTCACTCGGAGAGTCAATCACACAGAAAGTCAACTATGAGAATTTCAAAACAAAGTTAGTCAAACGGTCACCAACCAAATTTGTAACCGTTTAAGTACCTCACACATTAAAGATTTCACAATTCGATTAGTAAGGTAAAAACATACTTACGACCGTGATTGGACAAATCTTAATCAAAAGTCCACTTCAAAACCTATAAATATAGAGATAAGGTCACTAGTAAAAAATCGCATTTTTAACTTGCACATTACGCTTCAGTTTTTCTGGAACCGAAGCGTATCAAAACGCGGTGGTAGTCTCGTAATTTTTAAAATAGTATATACCTCGGTTGTTAAGCAACTGGTGTCTAAAAAGAATACCGCTTCGGTTGTCAGGGTGAACCGAGGCATAAACCTCACGTGGCAAAGATACTAACTCGGTTGGCAGATGGACCGAGACATATGGGCTTGGACTGTAGGAAACATAGCCTTAAAGCCAAGAAAACCTAGCCTCTGGGAGGAAACTTTTCCCCAAAAACCTAGCACCTCCATCACAGATCCACCTCGCGTGCCAGTTTCTCTCTCGAGAGCGCATCTCCTCATCGCCAACCTCCATCACAGATCCACCTCTCCTCCGCACTGTAAGTCTAGTTTCCTTCACAGATCCAACATTCTTCTTCCATATTTTGCCTTTCTTCAGCCTTAGCGACCATAAAACCACTTTTCTATCGATTAAACCTGTTTCCCTTTGTTCATTCCTCTTTTCCACCGTTTAAAACCTTGGTTCCACCGATTAATCGGTCAAGATAGTGACTCTGCAATTGGATGACGAAATGGATTTGGGGGTTCTACTTCTTAGTTTGCTCTGCGGCTTCTGATTGCTCGCTAGGAAAGAAGAGAAAGAAAGAAAGGGAGCATCTTGATGGAGTGGTTGAAGCGTCCTCGGTAAACATTGCTCCAATCTCCGCCGGACTTCAACCTCAGCCGCTCGGAGAAGTTGTCGGTGGCAAACAAGATCTCCTCCGCCGAAGGTGCAGCGCGTGTCGGCGAGCCTAGCCGCCGCTCCTCGATCTCCCTCACCACCGTTCTCTCTCCTACCGCCCTCTGGAGCTACGTCTCCGCCCGCGTCTTGGCCAGCGTCCATATTTGAAGCCTATTGGAGAGCTCCGATTGCACCTCCGTCAGGGGCTTCTGATTGGGGTTGAAAATTTGGGTTGTTAGTGCAGGTTGGAGTTTGGGTGCCACTGGTTCGTGATAATCAGAGGATTTGGTAGTGAGAACGCGTTGATGGAGTTTGGGTGCCATTGGTTCGTGATAATCAAGCCACATATTGTTTTTTTTTGTCTCAAAATTGTGTTTCTGTCTGTTTTCTTCCTTATGTCATTCATATCTTCTTTCCTTCTTTTTTCCAGCACAATCATAGGTTCTATTTATATGTACTTTATTTGTTAAGTTTGTGGCTTCATACTTTTCATTGAATAGTGAGAACTCAGCACCAAGTTTCATATGTGGATGGTTTTCCTTTTCAGTATGTTATCTTTATATTTTAGTTGCCAATGGTAACGAGCTTCTTTCTTGCTATGTTTGAACAAGAATTCTAGACTCGGGTTAGATTAAAAAGAGCATAGAAAAATAGAACATAACGAGGAAACGATCTCGGTTGAGATTAAAAAATTAAAAACACTTTATTGCCTCAGTTGTCTGGAAACCTAGGCATAATCTGAATTTTTTTGACTCGGTTCAAAACTGAGGCAATGCCTCGGTTGCGGAACCGTTGTCGTCTTTTTCCTTGACTGCACTAGTGGGTAAGGAATAGATAATTGCATTTATTAGACATCTAAAACTTAACTGTAATAATCGATTGGTTTAACTAAAAAACTAACCCCAGTGTCGCAATATCTTTAGCAAATCGCCAGCGCTCAGATTCGGACTTTACAAGAGAAGATTCAATATATAGGATATTGGAAGAATAAAAATAATCTAAACTAAGTGGAGAGGTTTAAAATATGAAGATATAATTTTTAATCCTATTTACCCAAACAGTCACCTCTTTTTTTTTTTACAAATACAAAAGTTCATTAAAAAAATACAGTGGGTTGTCAAATGATTATGTTTGGTATCAAACAATTTTCTTCAATAGTTAAACTATACTTTGACACTGAGATTTTTCGTTACATTTATTTGTACGTGAGACGTAATAGTGTCGACATCCAATTTCATTCAGATAAATAAAAATATGATATAAATAAAAATGGAGAGAATTTAAAAAAGAATAAAAAATAGAATAAATAAAATTAAAAAAATAAAATAAATGAAAGAAAAGAGATCTAGTTAATTTACTCGAATAATTTTGACCATTTTTTGTAGTTTATGATGTTGGAATCACGTCCAAGATCCTAAACTTCTTCCCTTTAGGAAGACCTAATTTGTAAGGGAAAGGGAACACCTCTTTTTGAGCTAAATAAAAATCTTAGAGAAGAAGAGAAGAAAAGGTAAAAAGAAAAAGGTAGTTGGAGTATAGGAAATGAAAAAGTGATAGAGAAGAAGGAACAAAAGAGTAAATGGAAGTAAAATTATTCATTTATTATTTGTGTCCGAAGAAATAAGCAAGTAGAGTTACCAAATTTTAATATCACTTTTAATTTCCTTTTATTTACATGACAACATTAATCATTCTTTTTCTCTAGGCTTAATACCTATTTTGGTCCCTCGAATCAGGACGTTTGTTCAAAGTGATCCTACCTTTTAAAATAAATTTAAAAATGTCCAAATTTGTGTAAAAACTGTTCAAGTTAGTTCTTTTTGCTTATGGCACTAAAAAGTTAACGGTGTAGCGACCCCCTGACCAAAACTTAATGAGTTGTCCACTTCTTCATTTGCGTGGCACGTTCAGGAAAAATGACATGTCAATTTTGAAATTTTGAAAAAAAAGTTGATGAGGTGGAAATGTTTTGACATAGAGTTAAAAGAAAAGGAGTTGACTCGGGATGAACATGCCAATGAAGGCTTGACATGTGGCAGCCTTTTCTACCCAAATTAGGGTTTCAGAATTGCAAAGGGAAAAGTTGCTTGCCTGTGCCGCGAAGGGATTTCTGCAAATTGATGGCTTGAAGCTCACATTGGCAGGATGAACTCTTGCGATGGCTGTAGCGAAGCTTGCGATGACATGGTGGCGTAAGAGACGAACTACACGAGACTTGGTTATGTTCTTTTACAAGTACGAGACACGATTAGGGTTTTGTTTCGCGTAAAGGAACGCTGGTCTCGATTGGGTTTCAACTTGGTTTCCTTTGTAGGTTAATGAAGATGGTGGAGGACGAGGTTGCACCATGGAGACGAACATGGAGGCTGGCATGGTGTTGGCGACGCAGCAGCTTGTGATGAAAGCGCGATTCTGGTTTGATGGAATTTGATGGTTGATGCAAATGAGTCGCGGTTGTGTTTTGTTTTCTAGTCTGGTTGGAGGTTTCGCGATTTGGGGATTCTTCCTCCTTACTGCTGATGTGCTTGCGTCATAACATTTCCACCTCATCAACATTTTTTAAATTCAAAATTGACACGTTATTTTTCTCAACGTGCCACGCAAATGAAGAAGTGGACAGTACATTAAGTTTTGGCCAGCGAGACAGCTGCACCGTTAACTTTTTAACGCCGCATGAATACCCGCTTAAAAAATATCCGCGGATATTTTAAAACCCGCGGATACCCGCAAATATTTTAAAAAAATATATTTTAATAAGTTATTAAAATAATTTAAATAGAATTACAAAAAATATATAAAATATAATATAAATTTAATTTAATTTAAATTTAAATTCAATTTTCATTAAATTTAATCTTGTAAAATATAAATTAATGTTAATTTTAATTAAATTTAACATAATAAAATATAAATTAAATTTTTATTTTTATTTTTTGTGGGTAGCGGGCATCCGCAGGTACGGATAGTATAATACCCGCACCCGACCCGTTTATAAGCGGTTATTAAAATATCCGCTACCCGCGGGTTGCGGGTAGTAAATATCCGCGGGTTTTAACTATCCGTCGCGGATTTGATCCGCAAATATTCGCGAACGTGAATTTTTTTACCATCCTAGAAGTCGATGAGTATATTTCTTATATTAGAATACTTTTAAATTTAGATTGTTATCAACTTAAACATCAAAATAGACTCTCCATGTATCAATGTATCAATGTATCAATGGAGTGATTTGGAACGAGGAGAATATGGTGGAAAATAAACAAATTAGAGATTGACTGATAGACAAACCCGAACATCAAGAAATAGAATGTGTTTGAATCCTGTGGAAACAAAATATGATTAGAAAGACAAGAAAAAAAATAAGAAATAGCAGGATCAAGGAACAGAATAAACATGAAAGAGGTAGTGGGATGAGAATAAATTATATTTCCTTTAATTATGTTTTGTTTTATTCTCTATATTTATTTTTCTTATCAATATACTATTTAGGAAAAAGAAATTTCATTTTAGTAAAAAATAAGTTATTTTACTTATAGTTATAATTTATATAAAATAATTTATTCAATTTATACTAGAAATTAAATTTAAATATTAGCATATTATCTTGCCAAATTCACTAAAAACGGATAAAAAAACACTTTAAATGATGATATAGAATTTAAAAAAAAAACAGTAAAATTCTCAGTACGTGTAGTGGAAGAACATCAGGCCACAAAACGATGCTGGATAACATTTTCTTGTTCTACGATTAAAGATGCTCTTCACGTCTCTTTTAACATATAATTCTTTGCTTTCTTTTAACGCTTGGAATCTGTTCGTGGGTTCAATTTTACCTATAAATGAAGATGCAGCATTACATGGAGAGAACATGATAAAGATAGTGATAAACATTTCAGAGGCAATATGCAAGGAAATAAGAGTGTTGTGAGGCTCAAATCTACCCGTTTTCCGTTGGAAGTCAACACCAAAACACTGAAATACAACGCCCAGGATGGAACCACCGGGTTCTCTTCGGAAACCACATACTCCCTCGGTGACACCGTCGTAACTATCAACATAACCCAAGAGATTTGCTCCGGTCGTGTAAAAACCGTGTACGTCGACATCTCCGAGGACACTGGTAAGGGTTCTTTCGCTAAACTGAGCATGCGAGTCACGAGAAACAAGAGGTACGGCATTTTATGCAATTACATGAACACCTTATTCGGGGGATCCTATAATTCGGTTAAGGAGAATTACTGTGCTCCACCATTACCGGAGAGAGAAATGGTTCATTATATTTGCGGTGAAAATGGTTTCGGAGGGTGTTTCACTCTGGAGAAGAAGAAGGAGGAGTATGGTACGGTAGTAAGAGTGCAGGCGACGCACGATTTCATGGTTGGCGAAGAGACCATGCACATGAAAGTGAAAATAAAGAATGACGATAAAGGAAGAGAAGAAGAAGGGTTGAATGTTGAAGTGGAAGGACCGGTGAAGCTTACAAAGGATTATGTGAACCATGTGGTTTCCGGAATGAGGAAGAAGATGCTAAGTGCGATTGAGACAAGTACGGTTTCACTTGCTAAAAACGGCACCGTTCAGCATTCGTCTAAGGATGGTAGCCGAGAAATTGACAGTCGTGTAAAATTGACAATGTCTCGCGTAAGGAGTTATGAACCCAAACCATGACTTGTCATTAGATCAGTGTTACTTTTTAAACTTTTAAATAATTTCTAAATACCGTGTGGAGATATTTAGAAAAAAATAAAATTATGATATAGAAAAAAATATAACAGTGTCAACTATTTATAGAATTATATTTTTATCAATGAGAAAATAAAATTAAAATTTAAAACAGTTTATAAAATAAAACATAATTTTTATTTATTTGATATATGGTCTTTTATGAATGTAAATTTTCTGAACTTGTTATTTGAAATTTTCTTTTGTATAAAGCTTTCATATGGATCAAACTTTAAGATATAGTAGGGAAATTTACATCATCATGAAAATTTAAATAGAGAAAAAAAAAACTTGGAGTGCTAATTAGAAATCTGTTAATGAAAAGAGGGATCTTAATATTTTTATTAGGTCTGTTGTAATGATAGTAAGCATTATATCATATGATATTGTATTTTATTGATGATGTATATAGTAAAAGGAAGGAAGGATTAAGAAGGATGAAAAAAGAAAACATGATACATTGTGAAAGAAACGTGTAACTGTGTTATGTTTACAGATGTGCCAATATACAAGTAAGAGAAAAAAACATAACTATACTACCCAACAAACTAAACTAACAGAACTAACTAGATAAAATACAATAGACTAAATCTCTTCATCCTCAAAAGTAAATCTTTTCAAAACATGCATGTAAATATACATTCTTTTGGTATTTTTAAAAATCAGCAAGTGAAAAAAAAACCATTAATCTTTATTTTATCTTTTCCTTATGTGCTTTTATGGATGATAAATTCCTAATATACTATTATTTACGTAAATAGGTCAAGTTGTGTTTATTAAACACGACTTCAAAACATTCAAAATGAACCGTGTAAAGTTATGCAGGGAACCAAATGAACAGTATGAAGTCATGGAGGGGGACACGACTTCTTCATTTGAAGTCGTTTTGGCCCTCACGACTTCATATTTGGTCAACAATTACCCATTTATGTAATATTCTAGACAAATATGTCTAATTTGTTGCATATGACTAGTTTGTTGCAAAACCCTCAGTTTTACCTATAAATAAAATGAAGATGCAGGATTAGATGGAGAGAACACGACAAAGAGAGTGAAACATTTGAGAGGCAATGTAAGGAAATAAGAGTGTTGTGAGGCTCAACTCTACAGGTTTTCCATTGGAAGTCAACACCAAAAGGCTGAAATACAACTATGAGGGTGGAACCACACCGGGTTCTCCTCGGAAATCACATACTCCCTCGGTAACACCCTCGTAACTATCAACGTAACCCAAGAGATTTGTTCTGGTCGTGTATACGCCGTCTACATCGACCTCTCCGAGGACAGTGGTAACGGTTCTTTCGCTAATCTGAGCCTGCAAGTCACGAGAAACAAGAGGTACGGCATTGTATGCAATTACACCTTATTATGCGAAGTCCCATTGAGGCAAGTACGGTTCAACGTGTTAGAAACAACCCGCTCAACATTCGCCCAAGGGTGGTGTTGATGTTCCTGAGGGTCGCGTGCGTATGCGTATGACGGTTGATAGTATCACTCCTAAGAAATCGTATGACTCCCAGAGAACTTAGATACTGTTTAATATATACAGGAGAAAATAAAGTTGTAAGTTTATAATATGATATAATAAGAATTGAGAAATAAAAAGAAAAAATATTGTATGATAAATAAAAATTGTACTTACTCTTCTCATATGGCCTGATATGAGAAGTTATTAAAATGGGTTTCAAAGTATCAATTTACCGTATGAAAATAATCAGAAAAATAAAACTATGATTATAAACATTTATAATAGTAGGTGTAAACTATTTATAAATGTTCATTAGGATATATTGGTCCATATATCTATCAACCTTTTATTGACTGAGAGGAGCTAAGTCAAACTATATATTTCATAGAACTGTTTAATAAGAGATAAAAAAAATGTATGGTGGATTGAAATTTGAGCTTTCTAAAGTTATTTTATGGTTTGGAAAAGTAATGTGTGATTTAATATTTTAGTTATTTATAATATTTAATAAAATTAATATCTATTTATCTAAAAAAATATTCTCTTTAAATTCGTCTCCAGTTCTCTATTGCCTTGCTTTGTTTAATGGAATTATCTCAAACATATAACAAATTGTCATTCAAAAAGGACCTCCTTAATTTCAAAATTACATTTTAAATTTGTTTATATACATAATAAAAACAATAAATATGTTAGTTATTGAAGTAATTAATATACATTCATTTTATTTTTTGTAAATACACACATTTTTTTCAAAAATATTTGGAAATAAATAAAAAATTTAATATTGTGTTGCAAATTTAAAATATCATTTTCTTTTATTTTTTGAAATACTAAAATTATAGTAATTTTGGATATTTTATTTCAGTGACATCATTATAAAACCACTTTTCATTTGACAATAGACACTCGTTTAGGTGAAAGAGTTGTATGTTATTGATGGGTTTATTAAGAGAAGTTTTATTATGAAGATACAAAGTCCAATTAACATAAGGGATTGATACTCTATATAATCTAAAACCTTAATGTTCTTCCTTAATGGTGATGAAGAGCTTCCTTACATTATCACAGTGAAGCACTGTTTCGTAGCTTCGTGTAGTTCTCATGGTGTCTCTGTTGTGGCAAAGATTCGCAGTAACGGCGGTGACGGGGATTTGAGTGTCGAGATTGAAAAACCTCGGAAACATCCGAAAGGGGAGTTGTTGAAGATGTTTGATGATGTCAAGGGAAAGGACATGGAGTTTGGGAACCAAAACAATGACAATGTTCCGGTCATGAACATGAGCGGTCAGCAAAACATCTCTGCGGTTTTAAGCGCCGCTGGATACGCTAAAGGCGATTATAACAATGCTATCATATTTCGCGGATGTAAATTTAGGTTGAAGAGAGGAAGTGAAAGAGTGTTATTCTCAAAATAACAATCTTTCAATCATGATTCCAGTCGCTCAGCGCTAATTCCTGAGGCTTAGCGCCCTGACCTTTTTTTTATTTTGTTTTAAAGGTTTTTTTTTTTTTCTGTTCCTTGTATATCTGTATCTCTTCTTCTCTTGTACATACGCTTTTCCACATGCAGAAATAAAATTTTCAGCTTTCATCTCTTAGTTTCATGGAAAGTCTATGGAACATCACAAATATTGTCATCGTCATGAAGAAAATGTTCAGCAGTTGGTACTTTGAGGCTTTGAAAAGTTCCTATGGTATCATAGCTAGCTATTATGTATTTGATAAACCATGTAATGAGAAAAAAAACAAGAAAAAGAAATGTTCTCGTTATAAACTTTTTAACAAGAACATTGTCTCCAATGAAGAAAGTATTGTCTTGACCTACTCTATAATAGTGTCATATTAGCTTGCATGCTTGTATTAATCAATCTTGCACATTGTGCATTAATGAAAAGTTGGATAACCCGTTTGAGTGTCAAAGACATTTATTTAACTAATATTCGTACAAACATTTGCTTTTTGCTATACAACGTTGAGTTATTATGTTTCTCAACTAATTAAGGCAACCTCATATGCAAGTTGATCATCGTGTTCTCATATATTTAGAGGAATCTCCTCGTATTGACCTTCTTTTTCCTTCACAAGATACTGTTTGCATTTGAGTTTGTTCAAATTTTGATTGGGTCTGTTATAGTAATCTTAGACGTTCTAAGTTCTAAATAATGAATCAAGGCCAACTCCTATATCGCCTAGGTCGACTTAATAATACATTCACTGCGTTTCGAAAAACGATATTTGGTTATCAAATTACTTGAAAGTCTGTTTTCTATTAGTTCGAATCTTTCCCTTGAGGGATTTGTTTTCCAAAGCCATAGATTTACCCTACTTAAGTTTTAAAAAGTCTCTATAAATACCAAACAACTATGACCAAGTGAAAACACTTCATCACACTGACTTAAAATTACTAAATTTTGAATCGAAATTCTCTTTCTGGATTACTTAGAATATCTTGGAAGAACCATGAGTGGAACGGAGGGAAAGTTGTCCATAGTGCGTAAGAATAGTTTTTATCAAAAGCGGTTAAGAACAATGAAACGTAAAAAGAAAGACTGAAAAAAAAAAGGAATAGTAAGATCAAATCAAGGAACGGAACAAACATGAAAGAGGTACGTGGGATGAGAATAAACGCTCTATACCCTTTAATTATGTTTGTTTTTCATTCTCTATATTTGTAGTTCTTATCAATTTCATTTACTATTTAGGAAAACGAAATTTCATTTTAGTAAAAAAAAATGATTTAACTTACAGTTATAATTTACAAAAATAATTGATTCAATTTATACTAAAAATTAAATTTAGATAAAAACGGATGAAAAACAAAAGCTTTAAATGATGTTTTGGAATTTTTAGAAAAACAGTAAAATTCTCTATACTGGAAGAATATCAGACCACAAAAATATGCTAGATGCTGATAAAAAAATAATAATAAAAAAAAGAAAGATGCTGGATAACATTTTTCTAGTTGTAGGATTAAATATGCTCCTGGCTCTTTTAACATATATAATTCTTTGCATTCTTTTAACTGTTAGTTGGAATCTGTGGGTAGGTTCAGTTTTACCTATAAATGAAGATGCAGGATTAGAGTGAGAGCAGACGAGATAAAAATAGTGATAAACATTTGAGAGGCAATGGAAGGAAATAAGAGTGTTGTGAGGCTCAAATCTACCCGTTTTCCGTTGGAAGTCAACACCAAAAGGCTGAAGTACAACTATGAGGGTGGAACCACCGGGTTGTCTTCGGAAATCACATACTCCCTCGGTAGCACCCTCGTAACCATCAACGTAACCCAAGAGATTTACTCTGGTAGTGTAAACGCCGTCTACATCGACCTCTCCGAGGACAGTGGTAAAGGATCTTTCGCTAATCTGAGTCTGCGAGTCACGAGAAACCAGAGGTATGGCATTTTATGCAATTACATGAACACCTTATTCGGGGGCTCCTATGATTCGCTTAAGGAGAAATACTGTGCGCCGCCTTTACCAGAGACAGAAGTGGTTCGTTACATTTGTGGTGATAGTGGTTGCGGAGGGTGTTTCACTCTGAAGAAGAAGAAGGATTATGATGATGATGAGGTGGTGAGAATGCAGGCCACGCACGATTTCATTGTTGGCGAAGAGACCATGCACGTAAAAGTGAAAATAAAGAATGACGATAATGTGGGAGAAGGAGGGTTGAATGTTGAAGTGGAAGGACCCATGAAGCTTACAACGGATTATACGAACCATGTGATTTCGAGCATGACAAAGAAGATGCGAAGTGCGATTGAGGCAAGTACGGTTCCACTTGTTAAAAACAGCCCCGCTCGACGTTCGCCGAAGGATGGTGGCGGAGAGTTTGATGTTTCTGACGTGGACAGGATTGCCAGTATCACTCCTAGACAAGAAACAACATATGTTTCTGGCCATCGCGTGCGTATGAATATGCATAGGATGAGCTCTATGTCCTGAACAAGAATAAGGGTTATGAACTAGTTGTTATGGTCTCAAAAACGTCGTTTCCCATTAGGTTGGTGTACAATAAAGTGGGTTGTGAATGTATCAATTTACTTTACTTTACATAAACCTTTTGTAATGGCTACTATTTAATTTTAAGAAGTTTATCATTTTGTTAATCTCATAGATAATCGAGAATGATATTTTGACACTTTTTTTTTATATTTATTTGATATTATTAGTCACCTTTTCTTTTTTCTTTACAAATACAAAATTCATTAAAAAAAACATAGTGGGTTGTCAAATGATTGTATTTACTTTCAAACTATTTTTTTCAATAGTTAAACTATACTTTAAAGTATAGTTTAACTATAGGAAAAAATAGTTTGATACTATAATGTTCAACTACAACAACCACAACAACCACAACAACCACATCAACCACAACAACCACAACAACCACAACAACCACAGCAACCACAGCAACCAACAGATCAACCACAAGATGAAAATGTTTATGGAGATTACTAGTTATGTTTTTAGAAGTAGGGCATCTATGACTCAAACTTATTCCCTCAATAACTTATTTCATGTTATTTGAACTTATTATAATTAACAATTATGTAAACTTTCCTATTATGATTAATGTGAAATGCTTGTTTGTAGGTTTTAAGACTTAATTTATTTGTCAAATTTGTGAATGGATATAATGTGCAGGTGTTGTGAATTGTCTATTTGATATGGGCAGGTCTTGTAAATTGGCTGTTTGAATGAGCAGGTCTGCTATTACAAAAACTATATACATTATATACGGATTATCCGTATATAATGTTATTTACAGGCTTTTTATATACGGATTTTTGGTTGTATATAACACCATTTTTTATACGGATTTTGGAGGTTATATACGGATTTCGGCCGTATAAAATTGCGATTTTTCTTGTAGTGTTTGACACTGAGATTTTGCTTTACATATTCATTTGTACGCGTAATAGACGTTAACATTCAATTTCATTAGGATAAATAAAAATTATTTAAAAAAAAAACTCCAAAAATATGATAGGAATAAAAATGGAGAGAATTTAAAAAAAATAGAATAAATAAAATTAAAAAATGGAGTAAATGAAAGAAAAAAGATTTAGATAATTCACTCTAATCATTTTAACCAATTTCTTTGTAGTCTATGTTGGAGTCACCCCAAGATCCTAAACTTCTTCCCTTCATAAAGACATAATTTCTAGGAGGAAGGGAACACCTCTTTTGAACTAAATAAAAAACATAGAGAAGGAGCACGAAGAAGAAAGGAAAAATAAAAAATAAAAAATAAAAAACTATCTAGTTTTACGAAGAACGAAGAAATAAGCAAGTAAAATTATCTAGGTTTACTGTCACTTCTAATTTCCTTTTATTTACATTGACTATTCCTTTTCTTTATATTATTCTTTTTTTCCAAATTTCGTTTTATAGGAGATGAATGGTGGCATTGGTATGAATATTAAGTTCGAAAGGTATGATACTGTTAATTTCTTTTGTTTGTATGTATTTCCAATTTGTCATTATATTTTTGTTTTAATATTGTATGTGTTTTTTACATCTAATTTTGGATTTTTTCTTGTAGGCATTATTATTTTTATTATTTGTTATTTTATTTTAATAATTTTATGATTATGCAAATATATTTTTATATATTTACTTTCATGTTTCTCTTCTTGGAAAGTCCATGGAACATTATATTATCATCGTTATGGAGAAAATGTTCAGCAATTGGTCGTTTGAGGCCTTGGAAGGTTTAACATGGTTTGAGAGTATTATGTATTTAATAAACCATGTAATGAGAAAAAACAAGAAAAAGAAATGTGCTCGTTATAAACCTTTTAATTCTGCTAAGAGTCACGGTTACCTCGGTGAGTTAATTCTGCTACTGTTATGACCTAGTGAAAACATTTCATCACTAACTTAAAATTACTAAACTTTGAATCGGAATTCTCTTTTTGGATTATTTAGAATATCTTTGTTGCACCTTTATTCTAAGAATTATTGAAAGAGCCATGAGTGGAGCAGAGAAAAAGTTAAGAAAAAGTTATTCTATTAAGCTAACTAGCACAATGGATTATCCTTCACATTCTACATATATACCTCAGTAGAACCTTTGTTATAAGCAAAATTGTGAAGGATCTGACGGGGACGTTATCGTCCCAACAAGCGCTCTCCATCGCTCTTCAACTTACTTACTGAAAATGCTTTTTCGAATAAGCATAGGTCAATCGATTATGGCAATCATTAGACTATAACGTGATTGATCGATTGTTGTTGAGTGCGATTAACCAATATAAAAATAGGTTAACGCACATCAGTTCAGTAATTATATTTAAGATATGATTGAGCTTTAATTAGGTTAATAATAAATAAAAGTTCATTATAAATAATATAGATAAAAGATCATAGTAAAATAATTGATTAATTATTATATTTAATACTTTTGCTTTCAAATTCTTATTCACTTAAGCATCATATTCAAAATACTTTCTATATGTATCATTTGAGTGGTTTGGAATGAGCCCATGATAGACAAACCCGAACATCGAGAAATATAGCGTGTTTGAGTCCTATAGAAACAAAATATAACCGGAAAGAAACAAAATATAACTAGAAAGACAAAAA